GTTCAAACCTCTAGCCTTCTGGTCAGCAGTCAAGTGCCTTAGGCCCTATGCCACCAGAGCTCCTCCAGACCAACATAATCAGGCTTTATGAGCTCTGGTAGCATAGTGCCTAAGGCACTTGACTGCTAACCAGAAGGCTGATGGTTCAAACCCACCAGCCACTCCTCGGAAGGAAGATGGGAAATCTACTTCTGTAGTGATACCGCCTCGGAAACCCAAGGAGGGGTCGCTATGAGTCAGGTCCGACTCGACGGCACATAACAACAACCACCACCACCCAGCCTGGTCCCCTCAGCTTGGGAATGTCAGTGGATTTTGACCTGTTTTTTAAGAGCAGTTCCAACAGAGCTTTCTGGAATTATGTAAATGTTCTATATCTGCCATAATGTTATATATACTGTCCAATACAATAGCCACTAGTCACATGTTCTTTCATCAAAAACACCAAAACTCATTTTATCTCTCTGTAGAATGCAGCAGGGTAGCACGCTTCTGGGTAGGCAGAAAGAATTGGACAAGCTTCCAGAAGGGTGTCACCCGGCCTTGCACCACCTCCCATTCTTAGGTCCTGTGAGCAGTGGGCTGGACAAGGTCACAGAGTCATGAAATCTTGGAAGGAAGTGATGTCACAGCAGCTGTAGTAAGCACCCAACTGGTGCCCAAGTGCCCACGTCATTGCCTTCTTGACTTAGAGCTCGCGCTTCCTTATTCACTCATTCCCTAACTTCTGTGGAGCACCTGCTAGGTACCAGGCACTGCCCAGCTCTGGGGTTCAAACATGGACAAGGTAGTTAACTTTCCCGCCCTTGGGAAACATGCGTTCTAGAGAAAGAGAGACAGCCAGGCAACAGACCTGTGCAGAAAGAAGCAGAGATTTGTGAACTATGGAGAGTACAAGAGAGGGAACAAACAAGGGACAGTGACAGAAAAGAAGAAAAGGCAGGCTTTTGGGAAGGGACAACCAGAGAAGACTCCTCTGAAGAGGACAGTTAAGCTAAGACCACAGCATGTACAAAGGGCCTGGGGAGGAGAACCAGGCACTTTGGAGATCTGAGAGGCAGCCAGTAGAGCTGAAAGGGGAAGGAAGTCCCAGTGGTTGCTGGAGAGGTCAGTAAGGCCCAGGCATTAGGCAGGATCTTGCAGCTCTCAACGGGGATTCTGGTGCTGGCCTCAGAGCAAATGGAAGTTGCAGAGGGATTTTAAGCAGACTAGTGTTTGAGGCATTTGATTGCTAACCAGAAGGGTGGCAGTTCAAACCCACCAGCCACTCCTTGGAAGGAAGATTGGGCAATTTACTTTTGTAGAGATACCACCTCAGAAACCCAAGCAGAGGTCACTATGAGTCAGATCCGACTCAAAAGCAGTGAGTTTGGTTTGGTTTAGTGACCTCATCTAGTACATTTTAAAAAGCCCCCTCCAGAGTTGAACCCACACCTGTGGCTTCTAGCCAAACAAAAGACAGGCATATGAGTTGAACATTTACCTGAGGTAGATACACACCTTAGAGAGAACAATCACGGGAGAAAGAAGGGCTGTTTATGTACAAGGAGACAGCTCAGGGGGCAGGAGTGCATGGAGGGATGGACACAGGGAAGAGGTAACTATCTGGAGGAAGTGGGAGGGGAGCTGTTGCATTGTGGTAAATTCTAGTTAATGTCATGAGACAAAGTGTATGTGAACTGCTGTATGGAAAGTGAATTTGCTCTGTAAAATTTCACCCAACTCACAATTAAAAAAAAAAAAAGCCCCCTCTAGCTGCTGGGAGCTGAATAACTCTAAGAGGGCTAAGAGTGGAAACACATAGATTCATCAGGAAGCAACTGATCTAGCCCAGGCAAGAGCTGAAGGATGATGGCCATGATATGGAGAGAAGGGATGAGTTAGAGGTAGGTGTTTGGAGGTGGAATCAACTGGACCTGTGGGTGGACTAGGTCCTAGAAGTGAGGGAGCATGGGATTGGAGGAGCAAGTTTTTGGCTGGAGCACATGGGTGGCTGGAGCATATTTTACAAGAACAGATTGACAGTTCCATTTGGACAAGTCAGAAAGATGGTTGGATGGAGAGCTGTGGTGCCCAGGCGAGTGGTTCAGGCTGGAGTTATGTATGTGAGAGTGGTCAGCACAGATGGTTCTGAAACTCTTGGGAAGTTTGAGGTTGGGAAGAGGAAGAGGAGATGACCAATTGGAGGCCAAGGTGTGGCTGAGAGAGAGAAGGTAAACCAGGGGATGTGGGTCTTGGAAACCCGGAGAAGACAGAGTTTCAAGGAGAACGGGGTTAGCAGTGCCAAATGCCACTCAGAGTCCAGGGAAAGAGAAGCAACAGGTTTAACCAACATCTGGCAACACAGAGCACCTTTTCTTCCACTGCATAAGGCTCCCCTGGGAATCCACTCATCTGCCCTCGTTTTACCACCTATTGTGCGCCAGGCGCCAAGCAGCGTGCTGTCCCGGGGGAGGGGGGACAAGACATCTGCTGCTTCCTGAGTTCAAATTAATTTAACCAACAGTATCAGAAACAAGAAGTTTTTCATATGAGCCAAAACGCATCCTTTTTTTTTTTTTTTTTTTTTTTGAACAACCAACTTTTTTTTTTTCCCCAGTATTTTCTTTCTTTCTTTTTTTAAATTTACTTTTATTGTGGTGAAAACATACACATCAAGACATTCACCAACATAACAACTTGCACATTTACAGCTCAGGGACATTGATGGCATTTTTCATGTTGTGCCACCATTATTGCTCTCCTTTTCCAAAATATTCCACACCATTAGCAAAAACTCAGTGCCCTGCAAACAAAAGCTTCCCCTTTCCCCTTCCCTCCTACCCCTGGTCACCACTAATAATCTTTGAGATATATATATATATCTAGCAATTTTCCCTCCCTTCCCCTCCCCTCCCTGGTAACTAACAAAAAAAGTTTCCTTCCATATATAGACCCTTCCTTGACTTTTTACAATAGTGGACTAATACAATATTTGTCCTTCTGTGATTGACTTATTTCACTCAGCATAATGTCCTCCAAGTTCATCTATGTTACATGTCAACAACCAACTTTTACTGAGAGTCACCTACACACCCAGCCCTGTACAGGCACTAAAAGAGAAAAACAAACCAGTTGCCATTGAGTTGATTGAACCTCATGGTGACCCCGTGTACACAGAGTAGAGCTGCACTCCATAGGGTTTTCAAGGCTGGTTTTCAAAAGCAGATCACCAGGCTTTTCTTCCGAAGTGCCTCTGGCATAAAGGAACAAATGTGGTCTTGGTCTTCCAGGAACCAAGTGAGAGGTAAGAGAGAATTCTTGCAGTCACCAAATTGTGTTACTAAGAGTCTTGCACAGGAAATTATGAGATGAGAGGACGAGGACCAGCCCAGGTTGAAGGGATCAGAGAGGCAGAGGGGCTGCCAGAACTGCTCTCCAGGAATGAACAGAAGTTGGCCAGGGAAAGAGGAGGCACAGTGGATGAAGGCAGGAACAAAGTGTGCGACAGCCAAGCGTGTGAAAGAACAGGAAGCCTCTGGAGTTGGCTGAGCAGACAGGAGTGGCAGAGGGCTCTGGGGGTACTCAGACACTGTGGAGGGTCTTGTTGGTTCATGGTGAAGTGGATAGACTCAGGCAGTGGGGCACCGTGGGAGAGGTGACACAAGGGAGTGACATTAGCTGGACTGGTGTTTGCACTTGCTTTCTCTGGCTGCTTGGTGGGGACAGGTCTGGGGAATGAGAGACCACACAGCCGGTGGGAGAGGGGTGGTCAGCACAGGCTCTCAGCTTGGCTTTTGGTATCAGGAGGACTTGGATTCTCATTCTGCCTCAGCCACTTAATAGTTGTGGAACCTTGGGCAAGTCACTTGGAGTCGCTGAGTCTCTGTTTTCTTATCTCCAAAATGAGGATAAGGCCTTCTTCCCAGAGGATTTGCAAGAGTAATCTGTCTCCTCATGGAGCCATTGTCAAGTACCCAGTACAGGCTCTGACTCCATTCACACTCAGTAAATGGTAGTTACTGCTGCTGTTGTTACTGTTATCAGGCAGGGAGAGGAGGGGACAGATTTGAGAGAATTAGGAGGTAGAGTTGGTAGGTTTGGGCCACTGGCTTGACTTGACCTTCCTGCCCTGAATGGCCTGGGGTTGAGGGGCTAGAGGAGTGGTAGTGGGAAGGAAGTGAAGAGTATCCAGCGAGTTGCCTTCAGCACAAACAGCCTTCTAGGTCACTCTCCCCAGACCCACCCTACAGGTGTGCGTGAATGGTGTGTGTGTGTTTAGGGAAGGGAGCCCCAGAGGAAATAAATTTTGGTTCCTGTCCTGAGGTTTGGGGAGCAGCTCAGCTTTGTGCTAACTTTTTTGATGGAATACATGACGATGGGCTAGAGGGATCATGCATTCCTTGGGCTAGTGGCAGGAAGTCTGAGATTTAGTCCTGATTCAGCCACAGATCATTTATAATACCTGAGAACCACTGTTTCCAGGACTCAGTTTCCCCACCTGCAAAATGTGGTTGCATAGATGGTACCTAATCTTTCTTCGGTTCTGATGTTTCTAAGTTCTGAGCTGCTTCAGTAGTCAAAGCCAATGTCCTGGATGGAAGGAGACCCTTGGAGGGGTCTAGAGTCCCCATACCTCCACAGTGTTGGATAATACTTCATGGCAGTTTGCATGACTCTGCCCACTCCCAACAGCCCCTGCCCCATTGAATCCAGTCTACCCTTCAGCTGGGGAAGCCTCTAAAGGCAGTGTGAACTCTGTCACCCCACCTTAAACCACCCCACCACAATGGACCCTCTAATACTTCTCCCTTGTCTCTTTCATCTCCAGTCCCCCATCGGTGGAGCGGGAATAAGCTTTCCTGAATAAGTTAGATGGATGGTCCCCGTTAGCCTGGTGGGCTGCCCCATTCCTGCCTCCCCACAACTCCCCTTGCCAAAGAAGGCGCCTCTGTGTCAAGGAGGCTGGGGGGCAGGAGAATTTGGGTGGGGGCTGGAGGTATCCTGCCTAGCAAGCAGAAATGGTGCCCCCAGGGAAGAAACCAGCCGGAGAGGCCTCCAACTCCAACAAGAAGTGCAAGCGTTATTTCAACGAGCACTGGAAAGAGGAGTTTACTTGGCTTGACTTTGACTACGAGCGGAAGCTGATGTTCTGCCTCGAGTGTCGTCAGGCCCTGGTGAGGAACAAGCATGGCAAAGCTGAGAACGCTTTCACCGTGGGCACTGACAACTTCCAGCGCCATGCCTTGCTGCGCCACGTGACCTCAGGAGCCCACCGCCAGGCTCTGGTTGTCAACCAGGGCCAGCCCCCTTTCGAGGGCCAGGCTGAGGGAGGAGGGCCCTACCCAGGCCTGGCTCCCACCCCCAACTCTAGGGGCATCAAGGTGGAGGCGGACCCCTCCAAATTGGCTGTGCTGACCACCGTGTACTGTATGGCGAAGGAGGATGTGCCAGATGACCGCTGCTCTGCCCTGCTTGAGCTACAGAGGTTCAACCTGTGCCAGGCGCTGCTGGGCACCGAGCACAGCGATTACTACAGCCCCAGGAGGGTGAGAGACATGCAGGTGGGTGGCAGCCAGAGGCATGGGAAGGGCTTGGGGAGGGAGGTCATCGAGCTGTCTGGGCACAATTCCAGCATGACAGGCCCTGCCCACTGCCCACCACGGGCCAGGACACTTCATTCATACCTTCTCCCTTCAGGACCTTCACCTACTAGGTGCCAGGTCCTGGGCCAGCTGCTGGGGACACAAGAGTGACAAGGCCAGACTAGGCCCAGTTCTTGGGAGCACTGGGATTACTCCCCTTACCACCTAGGCCAGAGGTTGTAAATTGGTGGCCTAGGGGCATGACTGGTCCACAAATGTGTTGTATTAATTCTCATAATGTTTTTTAAAAAACTTAGTTTCCAACTTGAAAAACTGAGATTATATATAAAAATCTGGATTTGTGACTTCTACTGAAAAGTCGTAACGAGCCCTGGTGGCACAACAGTTAAGTGCTCAGCTAACAAAAAGTTTGACAGTTCGAAACCACCCCGTGGATCTGTGGAAGAAAGCCCTCGCAGTCTGCTTCTGTAAAGGTTACAGGCTAGAAAACCTTATGGTGCAGTTCTACCCTGTCACATGGAGTTGCTATGAGTTGAAATTGACTTGATAGCATCTAACAACTGAAAAGTTAGGCCACCATGCTCTTACAGTAAGACGTGGTGGAGCTGGAAAGCAGGCATGCATGGGCTTGCCACGGTCTTCAGCATTCCCTGTGGTTTATCCCTGGCCCGCTGGAGGCATGTAAGTTGCAGCTTCTGTCCTAGGTACCAGCTGTGTGAGTCCTGGGGGCTGGATTTGGGGGTGGGGGGGCTGGGTCTCATCCTACTGAGACATGACAAAGAGATCACACAGCCGGAACCCTGTGTAACTGGTCAGGAGTTGGGAATGAATGTGTCAACCAGTTAACCCCTGAGATGCATAATGGAGGATCAACCCCAGGACTATGGCAGGCTTTGGGGTGATGTTATAGAAAAACATGAGAAACTGTCCTTCCTAGAGCCCTTTATGGTTCATAAACATATTTTACATTTATAAGCTCATTTGAGCTTCACAACAACCCTGTGAGGAGGCTGGGGCAGGTATTAGCCTGGTTTGGGAGCTAAGGAAACTGAGGGCCAGAAAGGTGAAATGACTTGGCAAAGGTCATACAGCCAGCAAGTAGCAAAGCCAAGACTGGCCCCTAAGTCTGCCTGTGCTCTTTCCACCACCCTACACTGCCTGCCTCCCCTTCTCAGGACAAGCCTAACTCTGTCCTCTCTCTTTTTCTCTCCCTGGGTGCTCTAGGTGGCCATTGCCAGTGTCTTGCACACAGAGGACTGTCAGCGCTTGAAGGCATCCCCATATGTGGGGCTGGTGCTGGATGAGACCAGGGACTGGCCTGAGTCCCACGGTCTGGCCCTGTTTGCCACTTCAGTGTCCCCCTGCGATGGCCAGCCTGCCACCACTTTTCTGGGCAATATGGAGCTGCAAGAGGGTGAAGCCACTGCTGGCCAGCTCCTAGACATCCTGCAGGCCTTTGGCGTACCTGCATCCAGCCTGGCCTGGCTCAGCTCAAGCCTTCCCAGCGATCGCCTGCGGAGTGTGAGCCTGCAGCTCCGGGCTGCCTGCCCACTGCTCACTGAGCTACACTGCCTCCCTGGCCGGACAGACCCCAAACCCCCTGCCTACCTGGGTGAATATGAAAGCATACTAGACGCCCTTTTCCGCCTGCATGGTGGCCCTAGTTCCCACATGGTCCCTGAGCTCCGGGCAGCACTGGACCTTGCAGCTGTTGACTTGGCAGGGTCACGGCCAGTGCCCTGGGCCTCAGTGCTGCCTGTGGTGGAAGCAGTAGCCGAGGTCTGGCCTCGCCTGGTGTCCACCCTGGAGGCTGCAGCCCCAGTGTCACCCACTGCAGGGGCACTGGCCCTAGCTCTGCGCCAGTTCACCTTTGTGGCCTTCACCCACCTGCTGCTGGACACTCTGCCCTCCATGCAGAAGCTTGCGCTTGTCTTGCAGCCAGAGGAGCCGGACTTGGCCTTGCTGCAGCCCCTGGTGATGGCAGCCTCTGCCTCCCTCCAAGCACAGTGCAGCTCAGGTGGTGCCCGCCTCCAGGGCTTCCTTCAGGAACTGGAGACCTCAAGCCCCGACGGGGGCAACAGTCGCTGTGCCTACCGCGGCGTGGAGCTGGCCGGCTATTCCGAGGCCGCCGTCCGGGGCTTCGAGCGGCTGCGGGGGACTTTCGTGGACTCCATGCGGACAGGACTGTGGGACTCCTACCCCGGGCCCTCGCTGGACACCGTGACTGCCTTCGCTGCCATATTTGACCCCCGACGCTACCCGCAGGCGCCAGAGGAGCTGGGCGCGCACGGCGAGGGTGCGCTGCGCCTGCTGCTGCGTGCCTTCGCGCCTGCTGTGGTGCGCCAGCGCGCGCTGGGCGACTTCGCGCTCTTCAAGCGTGTGGTGTGCAGCCTCGGGCGGCTCGGGCCGCGGGCCCTGTGCACCAAACTGGCGTGTGCTCACTCCGAGCTGCACGAGCTCTTCCCCGACTTCGCTGCCCTCGCCGCTCTGGCCTTGGTGCTGCCCGCAGGCGCCAGCCTTCTGGACAAGGTCTGCCGCAGCCGGGAGCTGCGGTGGTGGGGGCCGGCTGGGGGCGGGGAAGGCCGTAGTGGCCACATGGTGAAGATCGCCGTGGATGGGCCCCCTCTGCACGAGTTTGACTTTGCGCTGGCCATGGAGTTCCTGGAGAGTGGGTGGGGGGAGGGGCTCACGCAAGTCACGTGATAGGCTGCCCCCTTTCTTAACCCAGCCAGTCTGGGGCCCTGGGCATACTGTGGGCTAAGCTGGACTTGACCGTAGTGCTGCTCCTAAGCTGATATACTAACTGTGGCCTCCCCGAGGCTTCCAATCCACCTTCCACAGGCTTCCTCTGCTCCACGCTGACTCCAAACCCCATCTCGTGGACTGTGGGAACCTGGGCAAGTGGGCTGAGACGGGTCTAGTGCCCCCTAAATGGCATCTGTGCTTTCCAAGGTTTGGTGAGAAAGTAGCTCACCCTTTCCACTTCTGGTCTTGGTCCAAGTTTTGGTTCTGGAAGAGTTTGGGCTTGGCTGGAAGGAGCAAGACTGGTTTTAGGAAGTGGGAATTGAGAGGAAGGAGAATGGCTTCTTGGCTGTTACCAAGCCCCACACCTGGGAGTATTGCTTCAGATATATTGATACCTTATTCATTCTTGACACACAGCATAGCACCCTCTATGTGCACAAGCTAATGGTTCAAGGGCACAGTTGTGGAGGCAGTGATGCCCTCAGTCCTTCCTCCCCAATAGGCTGCCCGAGGGCTTTTCTGTACATAGCCGTGTGTATAGACATGAATATATAAATGTGAAATAAATCTACCTATCTTTCATAGTGTTAACACATAAAATCCTAAAAGGACTTCTTTTGGTTTTGAAAGGACAGGGTCTAAGAAAATCCAAAGCAGTCTGAATTTATTTCTAATTTGTTTTCTTCAAAATCTGGTTGCTCTCCGAGTCCCTAACCCTCCCCTGCTCATGCCTTTGAGACCAAACTTTGCAGAACCACAGCTGTACCTGCTGCCCCTGAGGACTGGCGTCAAGGCCTGACTGGATCTTTGGAGGAGTTTTGCCCTTTCAGATTCCCCCAGTCTTCCCACCCTCTCCTGTCAGCCCTGGCTGCGTGGTGTGGGGATCAGGAGAGGGGCGAGGGGAGTGAGAGAGGAGGCGCTAGCCTGTCCCCAAGCATCCTGGGTTTGGTTTTAATTTACAATAAAGTGAAAACCCAGTGCATCTTGCAGTCTCCATGGTGGTGTGTATGTCAGGGCCCTGCCCTGGCTCCTCTGTCCCCTCCCGTGGCCGGACTTGCCTTAGGGGTTCATTTCAGCCATTCTGCTGCCTCTGTTGGTGGGGACTGGTCTTTCTCTTGAATGAGTAGTCTCCTTCTGTAGACTCCGCCTCTGCATACCCAGCTGTGGGGAGAAGGGACAGGGAAAAGGCTAAAGGGCCTAGGGGCCCCTCGTCTGGGGCTTGGCTGGGCTGCTTTGTGAAGAGGGAGACAGGAGTGTCTGCCTTAGCTCCACACCCAAGAAGCCCATCAGCTGCTTTCTTGTTCTGGCTGCGGAGGTAGAAGGGAGCCCCATTGCTCCCCACTTCAGACCCTGCCTTCTTCCTCCTGCAGCAGGCTCGGCCTCCAGCACCCCCAGCCCCCTGCTGGCCTCCCTATCCCTGCCCGCCCGACCTCTGCAGCCCCCGCTGGACTTCAAGCACTTGCTCGCCTTCCACTTCAATGGCGCCGCCCCGCTCAGTCTCTTCCCCAACTTCAGCACGGTACGGGCTGGGTTGGGGGCTGGACACAGCCAAATCGGGGGTGGGCAGGGCAGGTGGCCTCAGTGGGGCCAGCTCTCAGCAACTGGGTATCTCCAGGAGCTCATTTTCCAGCATCCCCCCAAGTGACTCGGTGTTTCCCAAACAGGGACCCCTGGGCCCAGCTCTTCCCTAGGCTAGGGAACAAAAATAGCATCACCCCCAGAGCCACAGCTGCTGGCCCTGTGGGCCTGTAGAATCTAATTTCAATTGAGGTTTGGTGTAGGGACATCTATGGGTGATCTCTGTGTGGTTTGGTGTGTCTGTTTTTGTTTGTGTCTGTGTAGGTCTTTATTATTTGTGGATGTACATTTTTGTGTTGGTGTCCAATGTGTGTATGTGTAAACAGTTCTTGTGTGCCTGTGTATCTGAGCATTCTTCATGTCTTTGTGTGTATATACTATGTTTGTGTTTGGTGTCTGTTTGACACTGAACCAGAGTGCATCTCTGTGATTTGTAACTATACCTGTAAGCTAATGTGCTTTGTGTCTACATACTAATCTAAGCATTTCTGTATGGGTGTGTGCATGAATGACAAGTTAGTGACAATGAATTTTACTCTGCTATATGAGGTTTGAGGGAGCTCTGGTAGCATAGTGCCTAAGGCATTTGACTGTTCACTAGAAGGCTGACAGTTCAAACCCACCAGCCACTCCTTGGAAGGAACGTTGAGCGACTATTTCCGCAGGGATACTGCCTTGGAAACCCAAGGAGGGGTCTCTATGGGTTGAAATCGACGGCAGTGAATTTTTTTTTGTTTATATGAGGTGTGAAGGAGCTCTGGTAGTGCAGTGCCTAAGGCATTTGACTGCTAACCAGAAGGTTGACAGTTCAAACCTATTAGCTGCCCCATGGAAGGAAGATGGGGCACTTCACTTCTGTAAAGATTTACTGCCTTGAAAACCCACTGAGGTTACTATGATTTGAAATTGACTCAATGGCAGTGAGTTTTGAGTATGTGAGATGTGAGGAATAACCTTTCCTCCTTTACTTTTTTAATTTTGAACAATCAAATTTAATCATCGCTGAACCCTACACTGTCCTGATAAGCTGGTCAGAAATTCTGCCTCTCTCACCCATAGGAGTCCCTCCTTCCTCATCCTTCAGGGTCATGCCGAGGTCCTAAGAAGTTTGATCTGATCAGTCCCTGCTATCACCTGCTGCCATGTTCACCATTCCAGGGCATGGCCCCCCAAGGGCGAGTGAAACCACTGCTGTCCTAACAGGCTGGGGTCCCTGCAGGCCAATCTCTCTGCAGTTCTGTCTCCTTGCCCCACCTGCCCTGGTGCTGTGAGGGTCAACACCTCTTCTCGTGTTCAGGGAAGTTTCCAAAACCATATTCTTCTCAAAGCCTCTCAAAATTTTGGGAAGGTTTGACAAGTTCCTCCTAATAAGCCTAGACAATTTCTGGTTTTGGCCCAACAGTCTAGGCCTCTGAAAAAGGGAACTTGGCTTGATAGAATAAAACAATTACTATAAGGAGAAGAAAAAAGCGCCACAAATTAGTATTCCAAAGGAATGATCCTGCTACTCATGGAAGACTTGGCCTTCTCTGGATGCTGCCTGTCCCTCATCACCCCCTCCCTTGGACATGGCTCCCAGTTTCCTCAGAGAAGTCTTTGGAAGCCTCTGGCCCTTGGCTTCCCTGGCCATGGCAAAGCCGATGAGATAGGACTTATCTGCTCCCAGCCCATAGATGCCAGCACAAAGGCTATGGTATGGGAAAGAAAACTCCAACAAAGAGGGAATTCTTTGTCTCCCCTCCACACACACCCCAATTCTCTGTCCTCATAGTTGTAAGTCTTATGAACGAGAAAGAAAATAGGGACCAGATGAGATGTCAAGGTGACCACCAGGACCTGCTGGATTATGGAGGTCACCCTGGCCATCTCCCTGCCTCCAAGCAGTGCCCAGCCTGACAGATAACAGAGCTCAGCCAGCCAGAGAAGAAGCTGTGTCTTTTTTGTGTCTAATATCCACAAGGATAGGAAGGTTCTTAGAGTCTGACCACGACCTCTCCTCAGTAGTCTTTAGTATGGGGCATTTTGTACTGCCCCTTCTTTCCCTGAGGAGACTACAGAGTTATTGTGGCCTCCCACCCCTTCACAGATGGACCCGGTCCAGAAAGCTGTCATCAGCCACACGTTTGGGGTCCCCTCCCCTCTGAAGAAGAAGCTCTTCATTTCCTGTAACATCTGCCACCTGAGGTTCAACTCAGCGGTGAGAGGGGGTGGTGAAAGCAGGGCTGGGGAGGGGCTGGGGAAGAAAGGGGCTGGAGTTGGAGCTTCCGGGGTCTTGGGAGGAATGGGGGTGGCAGAGGGTGTCTGTTATTTTCCATTCTGGTTGCTGAGGAGATGCTCCTGGTCCTTTAACCGTCCTATCCCTCTCTTTTCTCGGGGTCCCTCTATCCCATCCCTCAAGCCCCTGCTGGCCAGATCTAGTCCCCCTGGGATTCCAATTCCGTATCTTAGGCCTGTCTCTATGTTCTGGATCCTGCTGTAGAAGAGATTGCCTTTCCCCACTCTGGCTCCTGCTCTGAGACCACCTGGCATTCCATAGAGTTCTCAGAGCACCTGAGTTTACAGAATGTACCTGTGTCCATCATCTTAGTCAGTTCTCATGATGCATCTGTGATTGGGGCAAGTACTATATCATTCCCACTGTTCAGATGGGGAAACTAAGCCTCAGTGAGGTTAAGTGACTTGCTTAAGGCCACACAGCTGGTGAGCCGCAGAGCTAGGATTTGAGCTCAGGACTGGCTGACCCCAAGGCCCGAGTACTTCCTGCCACGGCCTGGACCTACTTAGCGGAGGAGCCTCATTCTAGCCTCCCAGGGAAGGTCTACCTTTTGCCCAGGCAACTCTGGCACTTGGGAGAGATGCTCTGAGACGACTTGCTGTGATCAAAGGACCCAGGAAAGAACTGCAGGGGCAGGTGGGCTGGGAAACAGTAATCAGGGACCCTTGGTTGAAGGAGGGAGGACACCAACAGGCCAGCTTTTGGGATTCCCTCCAGGCTGTCAGGTTAGTTTTGAGAAAGATGGAGTGTTCTCGGAAAAGCACTGTGTCTCCTTCGTGCTGGACTCTGGCACAGTGCCTGGCAACCCACAAATGCTCAATGACTTATTTATTGGAAAAGGGGTCAAAGGAATTAATGCTTTGGGGGGCACATACCCCAGAGTATGAAGACTGCTGTTTTCTCCATTTATGCATTTGTAAACCTGGTAACCAACACCAATTGAGTGCCAACTGTGTATACTAGGCACCTGTCATTCATTTTCCTATTTAATGCTCCCACCTTTATGTGGTCAGTATTGTCATTGCATAGTTAATGGGTAAAGCTCAGAGAGGTGAACTGATGTGCCCAAAGCTAGGAAGTAGCTGAGTGAGATTGTGAAGCCAGGGGGCACTTGCCTTGGAGCTCATGTATAAGAAGGCATTCTGTCAGCCTCAGAGTCTTAACCAGGTTGTGATGACGGTGGCAATGGTAGGGATTTCCCTTTGTGGTCTGAGCTCCGCCTCCCTCTGACTTGGTCTTGGGCCAGAGCTGGCACATGGATGAGGCACGTGGACTTGGTGAATGACACGGTGAATGACATGGTGCCCTCCCCTCCCCAGAACCAGGCTGAGGCACATTATAAAGGGCACAAACATGCCAGAAAAGTCAAGGCTGTCGAGGCTGCCAAGAGCAAGCAGAGGCCACAGACCCTGGCCCAGGATGGGGTGGTTGTGTCTCCAACCTCGACTCCAGCCAGCAGAGCCCCCGGAGAGCTGCAGAGCACAGGTCAGTGCTAGACTCTTTTCCCCCTCTCCCTCTCTGGTTTCTGACGAGGGGTTTCAATTTCTGCTTATTACTGTTGCTTGGGTTGAACCATTCACACAGACAGGAAAGGGCAACATCGTATGCACACAGGTCACTGGGCATTCCAGTGAACATACCCAGATCAAGAAACAGCTGGTATCAGCACACCAGAAACCCCCCATTGGGTTCCTTTCCCGGCACCACCCTCTCCCCCAGGGTAACCATAATCCTGGCCTTTCACAGCAAAGAAGTACTTCACCTGGTTTTGGTGAAGCAGACAGTATGTAGGTTTATGTATTTGGGTGCTTTTGTACATCATTATGCCTGTAGGAGCCATCCATGTTGCTGCATGCAGCTGATTGGCTCTTTTTCATTGCTGTGTAGTATTCCATTGCATGAGCACACCACTGTGTTTTGTTTTGAAATCTATTCTCCTGCTGATGGACATTTGGGTAGTTTCTAGTTTTACGTGGTTATGACATGTGCTGCTGTGAACACTGTAGTACATATTTTTTGGGTAACATGCTTAATTAAGAATTAGTAAGTAACTACAGAATATCAGCTGCAAGGGCTTTGTGAGAACACCTGTTCAACTTTATGATTCCAGATGGGGAAACTGAGGTCCAAGTCTGCCCAGCAAGTTGGCGGGAGAGTTGGGCATGGAATTCCACACAGGTTATTCCAACGCCAGGGAGCCTTCAGTCTGCCATGCCACCCATTATGTCAGTGTCAGAGTCATGGTCTTGAGAATCCACTTGGGGCCTTGTACTCTTACACGATGCCTCCCCTTTCCCCAGCAGCCCCTCTTCCGGGTCCCCCACTCCAGCCACCACTAATCCCGGACCCCACACCCAGGGAGCTGGCCCACTCAGACCTCTTGGATGCTGCCTCCTCTTCCTCTCCTTCCTCCTGCCCACCCTGCTCTCCAGAGCCTGGGCGAGAAGCTCCAGGGCCTGAGCCAGCGGCAGCTGCAGTGGAAAGCAGTGTGAGCGGGGTGGGCAGGAGTGAGAAGGGGCACCTCTACTGCCCCACATGCAAGGTGACAGTGAACTCTGCCTCCCAGCTTCAGGCTCACAACACAGGTGCGTGTCCCCCACCAGCCAAAGACCAGGGCGCGGAGAGGGCCAGGGAGGCTCACCCTCACCAGGTGTGGGTAGGCTTGAGTTCCTGGGCACTTTACTCAAGGGCCTGGCAACACAAGTGTTGTGCTTACCCATTCTTGGGTGGGCATTCCTAGGTCCTCCCAGTAATCCCTGGGGAGGGGGGAATTGGGAAGAGAAGCCTGGAGAAGCAAAAACTGAAGGTCACTAACCTCTGAAAACCAGGTTGGCAGTTCAAACCCACCAGCCACTCCTCAGAAGGAAGGTTGGGCAATCTACTTCCGTAGTGATACTGCAGCCTCGGAAACCCAAGGAGGGGTCGCTAAGGGTCATTCCAGAGAGGGAGGAGAGACCAGAGCTAGAAGCAGGGGACAGAGACTAGAGCAAAGGGGAAGCTGAGCAGTTACCCTGAAAATGGCCTTCCTTGGGGGAGGCTGGCATGAAATCAGAGAATCTGGGGAGAACCTCGCGGAGATGAAGAGAAGTCTCATCAGACTGGAGGGAGTGCATGTGCAGAGCAACCGCCAGGCCCAAAGGGACAGCTAAACCGAGCAAGGGTGGAGGCATCTATCTCCAAGGCCCTCACGCCCCTCTTGGATGCTGACAGGCTGTCTTCTTCTCTTCCCCAGGAGCTAAGCACCGGTGGATGGTAGAAGGCCAGCAAGGAACTCCCCGAAGAGGCCGGGGCCGCCCAGTGCCCCGCGGAGGGGCCAGACACAAGGCCAAGCGTGTGACAGGGGGCCGGGGGGGTCGGCAGGGCCCTAGCCCCCATTTCCACTGTGCTCTCTGCCAGCTCCAGGTCAATTCAGAGACTCAACTCAAGCAGGTGGGAGAAGCCAGGCTGGGAATGGGGCTGGAGCAGGGTAGCACAGAGCCAGGGCGGAGGGAGCCTACAGAGAGAAGGTGGGGGGGGGGTAGGGGGGGCAGAGAAGCACTGGAGGAAGAGGAGTAAGGTTAATTGCTGAGGGGGGATACCTTCCCAGGGTTTACACTGGGTAAGTGCCCAGTAAATGTGTGTTTGATGTGTGTATTATGGGTTGAGGAAAGGTGAGGTAGTTAGGAATGACAGGACAGTTTTGGGGTCCTTGGGCTTCCTCATCTTGTTCCCAGTCTGTCTGTCTGTCCATCCATTAGCACATGAGCAGCAGGAAGCACAAAGACCGCCTGGCCGGGAAGCCCCCCAAGCCCTCCAGCCAGCACAGCAAGCTGCAGAAGCCCGCAGCGCTGGCTGTGAGTATCCTCAAGGTATCTGTCTCCAGGCAACACAGCTGGGACCAGGGTCAGAAAGGGAGAGGGTGGGCGGGAGAGGGCCAGATGGGGGGCTTGGGGGTGGGACAGGAAGGAAGGCATCCCTCTCTCAGGCTGCCTGGGCAGAGAAAAAACATGGGCTGCTCTTGACCCAACTTGGGCTCTGCCCTGAAGAATTTCCGGGGAGGTGGGCTTGGGTAGCAAAGTTGGTAGGCGGGCATCTCCTGGAGACCATCTCTGTCCCTCCCCCCATACTCTCCCCTATCTGGGCAGGAAGACAGGTGGTGGACAAAGCCCTTTGGATTGGATGTTTGGGGGTGGTTAGGGGGAGGATTCAGGTTTGGAACCCTAAAAGGCACGTTTTTTCCCTGTGGCAAAAGCCTGAGGCTAGCGCTGAGGGAAAGATGGGATTTCTGGGGACAGGGACTGTGTCTATTTCTCTCCCTCCTTCCTAGTCAAAACTGGCCTTGCAGAAGCAACTCACCAAGACGTTGGCTGCGCGCTTCCTGCCCAGCCCGCTCCCTACTGCGGCCGCCATCTGTGCCCTGCCAGGGCCCTTGGCCCTGCGGCCTGCCCCCACCGCAGCCACTACCCTCTTCCCAGCTCCCATCCTGGGCCCAGCTCTGTTTCGCACCCCAGCGGGAGCCATCCGCCCTGCCACAGGACCCATTGTCTTTGCTCCCTATTAGCCCTCCTAAGGAGGTTAGGGCTGACTTCCCAGCAGTTCCTCACCCAGTCTCCTCCTTGTCCCCAGAGGAACTTGGTTTTCTACGCCCAGAGCCTAGGGGTTCCTGCTGAACCAGGAAGAGCTGGGCTGGTCTGAAGGGCAGCAGCCGTTCCCCTCCTGTCTGGACTGGGGATTAAGCCTGTAGCCACCCTGCCCGAGGACCATCCCCAGCTCCTAGGGCCAGTCCAGGATATGCGGCATTTCCCAGCCCAACTTCTGGGGAGCTAACCAATGAATCCCAAAGATCTATGCAAAATCCCAGCCCCAGCCCAAAGGTGCTCTCATCCAAGCCCTAAAGCCTCATGCCTCTCCTAGCCCATCCTCCACCCCCATGCTGGGGAGGAGATTCTCTGGAGAATCACTGAAGATTAGAGATAGGCTCTAGCTGGGATTCAAGGCTATCTGAACAAGGTGACCATGGTGACATCGGGGACTGTGGAGAAAGGGAGACCTGGGAGCTCCCTGGCCAAGCAGTGCTATAGTGAGGCAGAGCCAAGGGCGTACAGGGGCTGGGACTGAAAGCTTTTGGGGGGAACTCATGTGGTTTAACCGGATGGGGTTAGGATAGTGGTAGGTGAGGGCAATGTTCTGGCTGGGCCCAGTTTTAATACAGGAAGTAAACAATCCTATAAAAGTTCTCCCCTCATAACTTTTCACTGATTCCCCTGAACCCCACCTTTTAGGGGAGGGTATGCCTGAGTATCCCTCAGGCTGTGGGCCCAGCCAACAGCCCCCAGGGTCACTAATGAAGAGCTTTCCCCTATAGCTCTCTACTCCAAGCTGCTCCTAGCCCTCAATTCAGCTTTCCCTCCTTCTCCCAACCACCAAACCCAAGCCCCCCAATGCAAAGCTGCATGTTGGGACCCAGTGTGATACACTCTCAAGACCCATTTGCAAGCTGTCAAAGTCAATGTTATAGACCCTATCCCATCCCACCACTGCCCCCTCTCCCTACAATATGGGACTTTGCCAGTACCCACCTGTATCTTACTATTTTTTGACCCTTCTCAAGGGAGAACAAAGGGGGAGGGAAGGGATACTTTTTGATAACACGCAGTTGTGGTTTTATTGTGTCCAGTGCATCAATAAATGAACTTTAAGACCGAGCCTGTATGTGCTCTGACTCTAAATGCCTAGCCCAAGGCTGCCTTGCCCCTGCTCACCTCTCCTGCTTGGGGGGGAAACGGTGCGTAGTGGAGGTTGCCCTGCTATAGTGTTTCACCTATGCTAGGTGTGCATGTCAAAGTATGAAGTAGGCACAGGAAGTTGTGGGTTGTAAGTTCAAACCCTTACGAGCCCCAACAGGAGTCCAGGCAGCTCCCCAGGAGCTGCTATTGGTTTGCCTTGTTCTGCTTAGGCATCTGAGGTAAGAAGGAAGGGCTAGAGGAGCACCTTGTCCAGCCTTCACCATGGCAGCAGGCATATAAATATAAGAAACTTATAAATAGAAATCCAGCCATTAGCTTAAAACAACTGCAGGAAGGGGTAAAGACCAGCCCCGACGGCGAGAGGAGGGTAGTGGGGTAGGTGTGAAGACCGGCTGATTGGGCACTGAGTGGCCACAGTGGCGAATAAGAGTGGACAGTGCACTCCTGCCCCCTGGTGGCTAGAGGGACAGGAGTGTCCCAGCCTCCTTGGCTGGTAGGCATAGCACCTTGAAGCAGCAGCAAAGGGTACAGTCACAGATGGCCCAAAGCCAAGAGCATTATAAAATCACAGAGCCAGAAAGGATCTAAGAGATCACCTAGCCAATTCACATCACCTTAAAGATGAGAAAATGAAGCTCAGAAAAGGACAAAGGTCTTGCTAGGTCACCAAGCCAGTTGATGACTCCCAGAAGAGTCATAATTCCATTCCATGTCAACCAATGAGGCCCATCTGCTTCCTGAGCAGGAAAAGGAAGAGAAACAATTGGGGGAAAGAGTTCAAACACTTCCCAGGAGGCCAGCTTCTTCCAGCTAAGGAAAGGACAGGGTTTTTGTTGAAGAGATACTCCCTAATGCCAGCATACACACACACATGTGCACACATCTACACCCACATATGCAATACTTGGACATTTCTCCAGAGTCCAGGCTGGTGCCCTAAGTGTGTGTGTGTTGTTGGCAGGAAGTCCACGGGTTGGGGTTCCTATAGTAAGAGCCAGACCTTAGACTGCATACTTCTGAATGGTTGCTCAGCTTCTGTCTGTGGGAGGTGGGACAGACAATGGCCTACACATTCCCCAGGTCACCATGGGGCATGTATGATGAAGGTTGGATGGGAAGCGGAGTGGGAAGAGGACTAATCTAGATTATTTGCACTCCCCGGAGTTGGGAGGGAGCAAAGGTGGCCACCTGAGCACCCGCTGACAGCCCAGCTGCCTGGCCTAGTGGGGAGCTACTCTCCTGACTTTGGAAAAGCTACCTTGCCTACCCCACTTTCCCCATCAACCCATCTTCCAGAGCCCCAGAAACAGGGATAGGGTTGGAAGGATGATGGAGGGACAGCAGCTCTTCAGCCATCCAAGGAGCCACTGCCCTTATTCTTGCGGCTGAGAGGGAAGGCCGACTTGCTCTGGGGCTGGGTCATCTTGCTGGCCAAGTAGACAAAGGGCTCCAGGAGGGAGCGGCGGTCGGCCACCGATACCTCCCATAGCTTCACCTTCTCTGACTTGGCCCAATGCTGAGCTACATCTGGGTCCACACGCCGTTGCTCCTGTAAGTCACACTTGTTGCCGAGGACCACAATGGTGACCTGGGAAAGAAGGGGCAGTCAGGCCTGTGGATACACCAAGGACATCAATAATGCAGCTGTGGGCTGGTTACCACCTAGGAGTTTTAGGAGAAGAAAAGTCTCCAAGGGCTGATGTCTCAATTCCACCTGGATTAGAAACCATGGGTTAGCAGGAAGAAGATGGTTAGTTTTTCTACTTTGTTCAAATTCAGGCCTCCTCTGATCCTCCCTCCAGGAATTCCACTGCAAGCCCTGCATTGCCCATTTTCACACACTACTTGCAGTTGGTTAGCTGCTAGTTAAACTTCTGGAAGCATGGGATCATCATAGAGAAGGACTATTGGAGCTTCATCTGTTAGGCCAGGGACCCCTTAAACTTAAGAGAAGCCTCTTCAGTTAAGCGGCTTCACCCTTAGGGTGACCTCCACTTCTACCTCCTGCCCTGTCTCCTAATCCAAATGAGTAAAAATGGAGTCATGCCAGGCCTCCCCAAGCCAGCCCAGAGTCCACTCTTCCCCCTGGGGCTCCCACCAGGAGCCTAGGCCACACACCTCCTTCTTGTCCTTGGATTTGTCAATCTCCTTCTTGAGCAGCTCCACACGTTGGAAGGACTCTCGGCTGTCAGTGCTGTAGACCAGGACGTAGCCATCAGTGCAGGAGAAGCAGTGCCGGGGCAGCTCGGCCCCATCCCGGAGGCCCCGGGTATCGTAGAAACGCACTTGCTCTCGCACACCCCGGTCTGTCTCAATGGAGCCCACGTAGATGTCCTCCTGTGTCTCGATCATCTCAGACCCTGGAGTAAAATGAGGCAAAGTGGGGAGGGAGGCAGGAAACATGAGTGACTAAGTGCATCCTCCCAGGCTGACCAGACAGGGAGAGGAAGGACTGTGGGGGCTGAAGAGGAGGCCAGAGACTGAGTGTGGTGGGACTGGCGTGATTTTGGAAAACAGATATTAACTTCACACTAACTCCATACTAAGCAAAAGTGTGGCTTGGGGGCTTTTCCTCTGGATTGCGGTGAAGATGTTCTCATCTTTGTTGTGGGAGAGTTGGGGGTTGTAATGTAGGATTTACTCTTCAGGTTGCAAAAAATCTACCAGGAACAGCTTTCAGCCTCTGCATGTTAGTGTCAAATACTGCTCCTTATGCTTCAACTTCTTCCACCCCTACCAACACTCACCAACCACATGGTTCCCGTATAGAAGCTGCTCCAGGATTGACGTTTTGCCCACAGACGCCTGGCCACAGACAACAACCTTGCAGCTCTTCCCCATAGTTAGCTTTTGACCTTGAGAAACAGAAGCATGTGGAATGAGGTGAGAAAAGAGATCAAAACAGGGCAGATTTCCCACAACTGAGAACCCAAATTCTGAACCAAACGCATAGCCCTGGGGATTCAGCACATCCTCTACTCAGATCAGGTATACTGAACCAATGTACTCATATCCACTTCCAGTCAGTGAGCTGTACTTTATGCATCTTTGGTATTCTCAGTACATGGATTAGCATCTGGTCTAGAACAGATGCTCAGTAAATGCGGCGGTAAATGGGTAACAGGACAACTGGTTTAACCACTGGCCAAGTTCCTTTCTGTACACAGGATGTGGAGAAGACTAGTTAATGAAGCCCCCTTCCCTGGCCCAGTTTCCTCCTTTTAACCACAAGCCTATGGTGAAATAAGCAGGAATGCTGTTTTTCTGTGGATCTGTCTTAATCCACCTACTCCCTGGGGGAGATTGAGCAAATCAAAGAGGGCAATTAGCTTTCCTGATGATTTATCTGGTCAACAATTAATTCCATCTAAATTTCAGTCAAGTTCATGGCTACCATGAAGAACAACAGACAAGTGAGGAAGGAGTGAAGGCATCTAAGAAAAAAAGGCTTCAGAAAGGAGATAGTTTTTGGTGCAGGGGGATAATATAAAAGCCCTTGGGCTGACTGGCCTTCCAGAAAAGACAACAAATCCCTTCTCAAAAGGGGCCCCGGGCACAGACCTCCAGAAGCACCCCAGATAGACTCCCCTAGATACTGCCTCGGAAACCCAAGGAGGGGTCACTATGAGTCGGGGCCGACTCGACGGCAAATAACAACAACAACAAGAGAGCAGGAGAGAGACCAGTCCCAAACGGGGCTCCACAAAGAAAGCTCTCCAAAGGAAGCTCCTGACACACACTCCCCGCAACATTAACCCTGAAATTAAGGGATATCCTAAGAGAGAATGCCAAAGGGATCTCGGCCACAGACTGCCCCACGAAGGGAGGAGCCCCAGAGGGAATCAGAAAAGACCTGCCCTCTAAGGTGACCTGGAGGCGGTAACCGATTCCCGGCGCTGAATAAGCCCGGCCTCCCAGCTCCGTACTTTCCCGGGGCCTTACAGCACCCCAGCCAGACCCCTCGAAGTGCACTGGGACCAGACGAAAAGCTGCACCGCCGCAAGAATCCCCCTCTTCCTCCTGGGTCTGTCCTGACTTCGTCGGGCCCCGCCTCCGCAGCGCCTGGCCCCCAGCTTCCGTCCGGCAAGATGAACTTCGGCGGCGGAGAGCGGGCGGCAGCCGCACAGCACCCCCAGAGGCCGGCGGAGGAAACGACGGCCAGAACCCGGTCCGGGCTGTACTCGGGAGCGCACGGTTCTGGGCTCTCGGAATGCAGGAGGCTGTTTTGGCGTCTTTGCTGCTCAAATGTTCTCTAACTACCATAACACAGTAACCATTCAACAGTTTGTTTTCTGAGTTACTCTATGCCAGGTGCAGGGCCACGTACGTGCTAGGAAAAAGTGGACAATTAGACATGGTAGCTGCCCACCAGAACGTCACCGTCTATATGAGCTAGACACGTAAACCGGCAGTTACAGTACAGCATGGTAAGTACTATTACAGGGAAACATACGGAGTCCTGGTGGCGCAGTGGTTACAGCACTCGGCTGCTAACTGAAAGATGGGCAGCTCCAAGCACCAGTGCTCCTCAGGAGAAAGATGTGGCAGTTGGCTTCCGTAAAGATTGACAGCTTTGGAAGCTCTACAGGGCAGTTCTACTCTGTCTTACAGGATCGCTGTGAGCTGAGTCGGAATCTGATGGCAGTATTTTTTTTTTTTTTAATGGGACCAGAGCAAAAGGACCTCTATCTATCTTGAGGGTAGTGAGCCTTAAGGAGAACTTCCTGGAGGAGGTTGTGTCTATTAAAAGGGTTTGGAAGGAAAGGGCACTGTGGGGTGGAAGAAAGGTGGCAAAAGTCACATTTTCTGGAACTAAAAGTATTTGAACTCACTGCCATCAAGTTGTGACCCCCATGGGGTTTCCCGGGCAGTAAATCTCTACAGAAATAGATTGCCCCATCTTCCTTCTGTGGAGTGGCTGGTGGGTTTGAACTACCAACCAAGGTGCACCTAACGCGAGCCATGGTATTTTCAATAGACTCATATGCATGTGAAAGCTGAACAATGAATAAGGGAGACCAAAGAAGAGTTGATGCTTTTGAGTTGTGTTGTTAAAGAATGCTGAAAGTACCATGGACTGCCAGAACAATGAACAAATCTGTCCTGGAAGAAGTGCAGCCAGAATGCTCCTTGGAAGCAAGAATGGCCAGACTTTGTCTCACCTACTTTGGTCATATTGTCAGAAGGGACCATTCCCTAGAAAAGGAACATCATGCTTGGTAAAGTAGAGGGTCAGTGAAAAAGGGGAAGACCCTCAATGAGATGGATTGATACAGTGGCTGTAATGAGGGGCTCAGGTATAGCAAGGATTGTGAGGATGGCACACGATTGGGCAGTATTTCGTTCTGTTGAATATAGGGTCACTATGAGTCAGAGCCAACTCGATGGCACCTAACGACAACAACAACAACAAAAGGTACTTGAACTGAAATATTGATATTAGTTGTGGTTGTTAGGTGCTGTTGAGTTGGTTCTGGCTCATAATGACCCCATGTACAACATCCTCACAATCATTGCCCCATTCTCACAATCGTTGCTATGTTTGAGTCCATTGTTACAGCCACTGTGTCACTCCATCTTGTTGATAGTCTTCCTCTCCGCTGACCCTCTACTTTACCAAGCATGATGTCCTTCTCCAGTGACTGGCCCCTTCTGATAACTTGTCCAAAGTACATACACTAAGGTGAAGTCTTGAATCCTTGCTTCTAAGGAGTATTTTGGCTTTATTTCTTCCAAGACAGATTTGTTTGTTCTTTGGGAAGTCCATAGTATATTCACTATTCTTTGTCAACAGCACAATTCAAATGCACCAATTCTTCTTTGGTCTCCCTTATTCATTGTCCAGCTTTCACTTGCATCTGAGGTGACTGAAAATATCATGGCTTGGACCAGATGCACCTGTCCTCAAAGTGACATCTTTTGCAGAGGTCCAATGCAATACATTGTTTGATTTCTTGACTGCTGCGTCCATGGACATTGATTGTGGACCAAGTAAAATGAAACCCTTGACAACTTCACTATTTTCTCCATTTATCGTATTTCTTATTGCCCCAGTTGGAGGATTTTTGTTCTATGTTGTGATGTAATCCATACTGAAGGCTATAGTCTTTGATTTTCATCAGTAACCACTTCAAATCTTCTTCCCTTTTAGCAGACAAGGTTGTGTTATCTGCATATCACTGGTTGTTAATAAGTCTCTCTCCAATCCTGATGTTATATTCTTCTTCATATAGTCCAGCTTCTGGGATTATTTGCTCAGCATACAGATTGAATAAGTATGATGAAAGGATACAACCCTAATGCACATCATTCCCAATTTTAAACCATGTAGCATTCTCTTGTTCTGTTCCAATTACTGCCTCTTGATCTGTGTACAGGTTCTGCATGCACATATTAAGTGTTCTGGAATTCCCATTTTTCACAATGTTATCCATAATTTGTTATGATCCACAGGTGTATGCCTTTGCATAGTCAATAAAACACAGGTAAAGATCTTTCTGGTATTCTCTGCTTTCAGCCAAGATCCATCTAACCTCAGCAATAATATCCTTTGTTCCATGTCCTCTTCTGAATCTGGCTTGAATTTCCAATAGTTCCCTGTCAATGTATTGCTGCAACTGTTTTTGAATTATCTTCAGCAAAATTTTACTTATATATGATATTAATGATATTGTCTGATAATTTCTTCTTTGGTCTCCCTTATATGTTAATATTTAAATAAATAGTTGGATCACCTCTTTTGGGAATGAGCACAAATAAGGATCTCTTCCAGTTGGTGGGCCAGCTAGCTGTCTTCCAAATTTTTTGGCATAGACGAGTGAGCACTTCCAGCATTGCATCTGTTTGTTGAACATCTCAATTGGAATTCTGCCAATTCCTGGAGCCTTGTTTTTCACCAGTCCCTTCACTGCAGCCTGTCTTTTATTTGTTTTGCAAATACACAGCAAAATATATTTCAACCTCAATAGTTTCTATATGTACAAATGAGTGACAATGATTACATTCTTCGAGTTGTGCAAACATTCTCACCCTCCTTTTCTGAGTTGTTTCTCTGCCATTAACATAAACTCACTGCCCCCTAAGGTTCCTATCTAATCTTTCAAGTTGTTGTTGTCAATTTGATCTCATATAGATTAAAAGAGCATACTGCTTCAGGCAGATATATTTTACTAGTTAAGCTAAACCATTCCTTGGTTTTAAGAAGACTTCAGGAGCTCTGATGGTGTAGTGCCTAAGGCATGTGACTGATAACCAGAAGGTTGGTGGTTCAGACCCACCAGCCACTCCTCAGAAGGAAGGCTGGGCAATCTATTCCATTGTGATACTGCCTCAGAAACCCAAGGAGGGGTTGCTGTGAGTCGGATCCAACTCGAGGGCAATGAGTAAGAAGACTTCAGGGGATATACTTGGTTTAAGATTTAAAGATTAACATATACATATGTCTCCATATGTCAAGCCCTAGGATAATGTTTTGGGAGGAGCTCTGGTAGCATAGTGGCTAAGACACTTGCCTGCTAACCAGATGGCTGGCGGTTCAAACCCACCAGCCACTCCTCGGAAGGAAGGTTGGGCAATCCTACTTCCGTAGTGATACTGCCTCGGAAACCCAAGGAGGGGTCGCTATGAGTCGGGGCCGACTCGACGGCACATAACAACAACAACAACAGGATAATGTTTAATCCCTAAACCAAAAATATCCCTGAAGTCTTCTTAATGTATTATCTACAATGACCATGGCATTTGCCTTCTCGAATTCAAACCCTATTGAATCTCTCCTTATCCAGATGGCGGTGTAGTGTCAGTTCCCTCAGCACCATGGTAGGCAGGGATCGTGCAAACAG